TTTTTTTTTTTTTTTTTAAATTTCTCATTCCGTTAGAAATGTTGATGTGGCATCCAGTCAGTCTGGTTCGAAAAATGCTACATATACATAATATTGTACATTGGGGTGTACATAACACTCACATTGAGTGAGACCTATCAAAAATCAAGTGAACCTCACTTTATGTGAGTGTTATGTTACATTTATTATGTACTTATAGCATTTTCCGTCTCATACACGATTTTTATGGGCGCTTGAAATGATAGTACAACTTTTGTTGTATTAGTAGCTGTAGAGGAATAATAATAGAACTGTAGAAATCCATTATCAACTTCAGAACGGGCCTAGGTAAACCTAGACCTTCGAGTACCTGTTTCAAGAAGGACCAGGAAACTGTATCAAATTCCTTGCGCAAATCAATCTTAATTGTGCACCTGGGGCCACTTCCTCATATATTGCCGGAGAAGTTGTTGCATAATGTGAATATTGTCAGACATGCGTCTCCCCTTGACAAATGCCGCTTGTGCCTTGTCGATGATGGAGTCAAGGACCTCACTGAGTCTGCCGGCGAGGATCTTGGAACAGACTTTATATAAAGTGTTGCAGTATGCGATTGGCCTATAATCTGTTACCAATGATGAATGCGTGGACTTGGGCACCAGAGTGAGTGCTGTATGATTCCATTGCTTGAGTAACGAGCCGGAGTGGAAAAATTCTTGGATTGCCGCAGCCATTGGCAAAATTAATGACAAGTAGACCATAGACGCATATAGATAGATAAAATTGCAAAAAAAAAAAGTAAAAAAAAAATTATTTAACTAATTAAATAGTCATCACCTTAACATAAAATAAAAAATCAACAAAAGTCTGCAAAATCTAGACCAAAACAGAGTCAACGAAACATAAAAAAAAAAGCGCGCACAATCAACGGGCACACTCCTCTTCACTAATCGACATAGCAACGCGGCTGTAGCCTTTAAATTCTCTACATCAAAATTTAGAGGAAAGATTGGAATACCTGAGCCACATTTGCTATTCTCTTATAAAATTCAAAGAAAAACCCCCTTTCAAATTCTCTACATCAAAATTCATTACAAAAATTACTATCAATGATAATTCAAAACACTAATTTTCTCAAATCACTCACCAAAACTCCCCTAATTTTTTCATCCCTATGTAGAACTAAACCCAATAGTCCCACCGCCGGCACGGCGACATGGTGTTGAGTATATTTTTGGGCAAGTGGTAACCGAGCTACCCGACTCGGGTCGTTCTCAAAGGAAGGCTATTCGGAGCTTCGTTCACTACCTAGTCGTCTAAGTCACACAACCGAAAAGGTCCTAAACATTCTACTCGCAATTTGAGGGTTTGAATTTAAACTAGATTAAACTACGAAATGAGTGCAATTGAAAGCAATTAACTAAGCACGCAAGAAGATGAGAGAAATCAAGGGGGAAAGAGAGATTTTGGTTCGACGGAGTCTCCATGATCAATCACACGCAAATAACCGAACATTGCCATGCTAGCTAAAACCCTAGGAAGCTAAACCCAACTCTAGCACAAGACGAGCAAAAATTCAACTCCTAATCACACTTAGTCAAGCATTCTCGATCTAAAGATTCAATCTTTTCCTCCAAGCAACACAAGCACAATATCGATTTTCACAAAAGCAAACAAAGATATA